TGCCTTAATACATGCCACAATAATACTCTCTGCCTTAATACATGCCACAATAATACTCTCTGCCTTAATACATGCCACAATAATACTCTCTGCCTTAATACATGCCACAATAATACTCTCTGCCTTAATACATGCCACAATAATACTCTCTGCCTTAATACATGCCACGATAATACTCTCTGCCTTAATACATGCCACAATAATACTCTCTGCCTTAATACATGCCACAATAATACTCTCTGCCTTAATACATGCCACAGTAATACTCTCTGCCTTAATACATGCCACAGTAATACTCTCTGCCTTTATACATGCCACAGTAATACTCACTGCCTTAATACATGCCACAATAATACTCTCTGCCTTAATACATGCCACAATAATACTCTCTGCCTTAATACATGCCACAATAATACTCTCTGCCTTAATACATGCCACAATAATACTCTCTGCCTTAATACATGCCACAATAATACTCTCTGCCTTAATACATGCCACAATAATACTCTCTGCCTTAATACATGCCACGATAATACTCTCTGCCTTTATACATGCCACAGTAATACTCACTGCCTTAATACATGCCACAATAATACTCTCTGCCTTAATACATGCCACAATAACACTCTCTGCCTTAATACATGCCACAATAATACTCTCTGCCTTAATACATGCCACAATAATACTCTTTGCCTTAATACATGCCACAATAATACTCTCTGCCGTAATACATGCCACAATAATACTCTCTGCCTTAATACATGCCACAATAATACTCTTTGCCTTAATACATGCCACAATAATACTCTCTGCCTTAATACATGCCACAATAATACTCTTTGCCTTAATACATGCCACAATAATACTCTCTGCCGTAATACATGCCACAATAATACTCTCTGCCTTAATACATGCCACAATAACACTCTCTGCCTTAATACATGCCACAATAATACTCTTTGCCTTAATACATGCCACAATAATACTCTCTGCCTTAATACATGCCACAGTAATACTCTCTGCCTTAATACATGCCACAATAATACTCTTTGCCTTAATACATGCCACAATAATACTCTTTGCCTTAATACATGCCACAATAATACTCTTTGCCTTAATACATGCCACAATAACACTCTCTGCCTTAATACATGCCACAATAACACTCTCTGCCTTAATACATGCCACAATAATACTCTCTGCCTTAATACATGCCACAATAACACTCTCTGCCTTAATACATGCCACAATAACACTCTCTGCCTTTATACAAGCCAACATAAGACCGGTGGGGTCTTAAACCTGAATGCACACACACTCATGGGGACTCATGTCACTGTGGACCTAAGTTGAGGAAACAAGCTTATAAATCATACAGAATGAAAAATGCAGAAAGTTTTGTGTGATGGGTAGGTTTAGGGTCAGGTTAGTGTGTGAGTGTGTGTGTGTGTGTGTGTGTGTGTGTGTGTGTGTGTGTGTGTGTGTGTGTGTGTGTGTGTGTGTGTGTGTGTGTGTGTGTGTGTGTGTGTGTGTGATGGGTAGGTTCAGGGGTCGGGTTTGTGTGTGTGTGTGATGTGTAGGTTTAGAGGTCGGTTTAGTGTGTGTGTGTGTGTGTCAGTGTTAGAGGAAGTTCAGCATCCCCACTGCAGGGCTCTTCCTGCGCTCTTCTCGAGGGATCAGTTCTTATAGTGCCAGATAATAACACAGGGTTTGTGTTGGAGCAGAGACTCTCTCTCACTTCACTTCTGAGAGATATTTCATCCAATCGCAGATGACAGGAAGGGAATCTGAAGTGGCCAGCCCTATTTCAGCATTCATTTCCTTTTTGTTGTCCTTTTTTTCTTGCCTTTTTGCTTAGTATCCTGGAGAAGTAATCGAACTGAGACGGATTGAATTAAGCGTAATGCGGCTGGAGAAAGACAAATGGTCAAGCTTGCAAATTCATGAAAACAAAACTGGATATCAGAATAAATTCTTCTCCCAAGAAGAATCAGTCACGCCGGGCCTTGATATAGAGTATAGGTTCTACAAAATGGAGTGCTAAATTGCGAATCCCTATGGTTTGACTAAATTAAAGCGAGAGAACAAATTAGTACAACTGACCAGCAATTGACTTGAAATGAGGGAACTAACTAACAAAACTTGGCCATGCATTTATAAGTGATGGGAACAAATTCTTATTTAGTGTCCAGTATATCCATTTTTTCCCTGCATGTCATGTGTGGGACACCATACTAAAATATTTAAAGTCCCCCTGTGGTGAAAATCCAGCTTTTAATGTTGTTTATATGTTTATGTGTACATGTCTATATGTCAATCAGATCAACGTGTGATCATCAATGAGTGGATCTCTGAGCTGCTGTGAGTGAGTGGAGGCGGAGCTCATTTGCATATTCATAGAACCGCGTATACTAAATGAGGCAAGGGTGTCGAGTTACACTCAAGATATTTTAAGGCATGAAGAATTTTTTTTTGCAAGGAATTATTATTATTATTATTTTTTTTTTGGTGATCAAAGATGAGTTTTACGGGATACAATTGTTGACTACAGGAGGACTTTAAATTGGGTCCAAATTGTCACCATTTACTCTCGCTTCTTGTCATTCCAAACTTGAATTTCCTTTTTCACCTGTGGAACACAAAAGAATATGTTTTAAGAAATGCTTCTATCTAAGGATCTCTTTGTCTTATGTTAAAACCTGTGCTACGCTGATTTGATCTAGTTTTAAACCTAATGGCACAGAGTAGACGTGACTCACAGTGTTGAAGAAGTACTTTAAATGAGACATAGGCCTAAAGGTTTATGAGCCTTGAAAACTAGACTAGACCACGTTCTCGCATTGTGCTTTGAAAATGTCTTCAGTTTTTGTGCAGAAGTCAGACGTTTTGGTTTTTTGGAGAGTAAGCATAAAATGCTTTATGTGTACAAAACAAATATCCTGAGTGTTGGGAACAGGCCCGGTGAAGTGGGGCGAGCGGGGTAATTGCCATATTAAGAGGAAGGAATTCAAAATAAAGTTAATCTTTCCACCCCTCCATAGGCGCAGAATGAACATGCTGCATCTTGTTCAACACACAAAGCACTTACAGAGACAGTGTAACTTAGACAAAGATGAAGGTTCTTCTGTGCCAGGATCCAGTTCAACCCAGTTTAGGATCAGGCCAGGAGTGGGTTTGACTTGGCACTGATGTGTTCATCTAGGTTCATGGGGATGAGGCTCTTTACAGTGTGTAGCTGTAGTTTGCTGTGTGTGAGTTTAACTAGTACATTCCTCATACACACACCCCTTGCTAAAATGCTTCATTTTCACTCAATGACCAACTCACCTTGCTGCCAACTCTTTAAGAGCTCCTCCTTCTCTCTCCTGGCAGAAACTAAAACTAACATGATGGCAGTGACTTCTGCAGTACAAATTCTTAATCTTAGTCAAGTCACCTTCATTTATATAGCGCTTTTAGCAATTTAGACTGTTTCAAAGCAGATTTACAGTGATAATGGGAAATGAAAGTAACAGAGATTGTTTAGCTTTACAGCAGCTCTAGAATAAAGTTATTGTTCAGCTAAACAGCTAAAGTTGATTGATTCACTTCCGATGCTAAGATCATTTAGTTATTAACTTATTAACTAAGTTATTTACTAAGGGGCTGCTCACTGTTTAACTGAACACAGAAAACTTTTAATGTGTTCTGGCCGTTCATTTGCACGACAACAGTGTTTGGTGGCTCGAGAACACAAACTTTGAAACAGGTTCCAAGGGGCAAGTTTTGAAAAATGTTGAAGTTAGTACTGATAACATCTCAGTAATACAAGATTATTATTGCATTATGTGCATTACCATTTTGAGTCAGGTAATTGTGGTTATTCCAGCATGAAGTAGAGCTTTCAAAGACTCAACTGAGCTCTTGCCATGGTCTAGCACAGGGGTTCTCAAGGTTTCAGCTCAAACCCAAATCAAACACACTTGAATAAGCTAAGGTCGTCATGAGTACTAGAAAGTTATATAGTCAGGTGAGATTGATCAAGGTTGGAGGTAAACTGGAGGATCTCAAGGGCCAGAGTTAAGAAGTCCTGTGCTAAATCTGAATCGCTCCCTATACCCTAGGGCGTTATTTGAGGGAACAGCCATTTGTAGTCGTGTCCGAAATCATAGTGGACGTTATTGAGAGCACTCATTCAATCCCACAATGCACTGCAATGACGAGTGTACAACCGGTGTACGCTCAACGGCTGTCTGAATTCACTCACTCGTTTTCATTCACTCATTTAAGTGAACAGTATTAGTGGACTAACGTAGGGAATAGTGAACGAGGGTTTAGTGGGCGATTTCTGATTCAGCCCTGGTTTTGCTGTTAGTGTGGATTCTCCCGCATATTAAGTCAATTTGACCCCCAGCTCACATTCTTTCCCAATCCTTTTCCCTCTTCAGCATTCCCTGTCTCGTCTGTCTATTGTGCAAAAGTGGTAAAAGGGACCTGAATCAATTTAAGTTAAAATAAAAGGGGTTAGGGTTCGTCGTACAGATACTGTAAAATGAAATTGCAGGATTTTCAAGGACTTTTCAAGCACTGCTTTTTTTGGTTTTCGAGGAGTACAATCAGAGATCTCACTTCTTAAACAACATCTTTATTATCTTTCAAATTCTAAATAAGGTAAACGGATAAATAAAAACATACTAATACAACAAAATGGTACAAATAAAGCACAGCAGATACAAAGTATGCAGTGACTGTGGTAACGTTAACCATTGAAAGGATACCATAGCCATTTTTTTCAATGAATGAATGAAAGATGCACTGGGAACCTAACCGTAACTCATGTTCATTGAAAAAAATGGCTTTATATTGTTGTTCTAATGTTGATTGAGATGTTTGGCCATTTTTTCTCCACAACAGATCTGTCATTTACTCAACGTAAACATTTGACTTTGTTTTTCACTCTGTCAGATTGGATTTCTGGAAGAGTTAGTAATGTATCCCTTCTGTTTCTGCCCTTGCCACAGTGGGTCCAGCCTGACTTGAAGAGAGGAAAAGAAAGGTCTTGTCACCCGAGCTGACGGATGGAGGCCCGATGTCTTTGCTCGGTCCCTCTTCACACACTCAATGGCTGCTCTGTTTCAGCGTAACGACGAGCCAGTTGGATATAATCTTGAGCGCTGGACTCAGGAGATCGGGAGGGATAGGGAAACGCTACGGTAGGCTTTGCCGGGAAGGATCATCTTTCTCCAGAAGTAGGAAACGAGCGTCAGAGGGTTCCTGCTGCCAGTCGGCTTTCTCCTCCTGTTACGACACGAGACCAAATGCAAACCATGTGTCCTCGCACCCGGTTAGCTGCTTTTGCCCACCCCTAGCATTAGCAGTCTGAGCGGATCCATTTCACTGGCCAAACGAGCCTCTCCGTGGGACTCCTGGCCTAATAGGCTGGATCTTTCCCATGTCCGGTCCCCGAAGATGGCGGTTATCCTCTGTTCGAGGGTTCAAGCTGGAGCTCATGTTTAGGGGTGAGTACAGTAGCCCACCTCAAGGGTCAAAGGTCACTTCCTCTTCAGATCTCTGCTTAAAGATGTGTTAAGGATGTGTTTTGGGAATGTCTTTTTGTTTAAATATGCTGAACTAATGTGGCACATAGTTGGGAGGAAGGGAGGTAAAATTTGCTGCCTGGTGCAATTCCGATCTGTCATCACTTGAAATGTGTATTTATTTATGTATTCTTTGAGGGAAAAGTATGGAGGGAAGAGGTTGGGGAATTTATGGGCCAAATATATGACTTGCACAGACAGGCATTTTGAGGCCTCTTTAATGGACAGCTTTATCTTCGTCAGATATGACCCCTCAGCTAAGGACCATGGACAGCGTAATGACCGGGTCTTGATAGCAAAGCCATTCTATAAGGGAATGAGGAATAGATCATATATTTAACTAGAATTGGTAATGCAATATAAATACATCAAAACTTTTTTCACACTTCCATTGTGGCATTTAGATGAAGTTGGTTTTATTTTTTTTTACTTTTGACAGAGCACTTAATCCTACGTCAGCGGCAGCGATCTAATGACCTTGTGTTGAATAGATGGGCAAGAATGAACAACATGTTGAACTGCAAGAATGACTTTGTAAACATCAGTCAGCAACGCTCAGGAAGTCAGTGTCGACTTCAGACAAACTATGTTCATGAGAGTGAAATATGTTTTCGTTCCTGTTTAACAGAAGGTCATGTTAGTTACTTATGTACTTTATGTTTGCTTTGTGTGTCGGGGGTGATTTGAGAGCATAGTTGTGAGGACTGTTGCTGGTGAAATGGTTGAAACATTGCAAACCTGATGTTCTTTGTCTCCAAACACCAGTGCTTACGAACGAGTACATATCATAGATGGGTTTTTTTGGGGTCCTCGAAGTTAAAAAAAACTATGCTTTCTCATATTATGTAAACAGCATTTCATAGTAATGTGAAAAAACTGAGGGATTAGCATTAGCAAACAGCTCCTGAGGTTAATTCGAATCACAGGAGACTGAGAGATTACACGTGTCTGTGAGCTACTCTGAGAGTTACTGCCGAACGCTGCTCATTCATCTGTCCATTCAGAGGAACTTTTAAAGTCACCATGAAATCAAAATGGACAATTCCTATTTTTTTATATTGTTTTTTAATTCATGTTCCTCATAATCTAAACTCAGAATATCTCTTCTCTGATGAGGGCGTGGGGAACCTGTCTCTCACATGAGATCCACCAATAGCAAACCACAACCATCCAATCAATCCAATCATCTGACATTTGTTCTTGGTCGATAAGCCATTTCACTCAGCTAAACGTCATAGCAGTGAAGAAAAGACTATCTGTTTCTGTTTCATGCTGACTTAAATTATGGCAATACTTTATTTTTATGACAGCCAAAAATAAATCCGACTGAAGTATGGTGCAGCCGGTGAGTGAATGAATGTGTGACAGGTGTGACAGGTGTGTGTGTGTGTGTGTAAATGCCGGTCATCTGTCCAGACACACACGTTTTCTCTAGAAGACGTTGAAATGTTTGAAACCCGTCTGACCTGTGGCCTCTCTCTTTCAGTTCCTTATTTCTTCAGCAGAACTTGTATGCTTGTTGCTGTGTGAGATTAAAGTGTGTGAGATTAAAGCATGCTCACTATGACTGCATGTGGATCACGTGTGTCGCTGTTAAAAGGCATTATGAGAAGCAGTGTGACTGACTTGGACTTGAATTGTCTGAGTATAGAGTATCTTGCTGATGGGATCCACATCATTTCTGTTTGCTCAGCAGTGATGAGGGACCAAACATCACCTCTGTCTCTCGTCTGAAAGCCTCTTGTTAGCAGATCAGGTGTCTTATTCACACACAGATGTGTTTCATAGCTTTACGGTGTGTGTGTGTGTGTGTGTGTCATGATGGAAAGCGTTTAATGGAGACGCTTTAAGTAAATGTGCAGGGATTATCTGTGAAGACAAGGCTGGTTTTATCTTCACACAATGAGGGAGAAGTGTTGGCATACCTGTGTCCTGTGTTTGATCATGTCTCACCCAGCGTTCCTCTGGTTCTGGCTGTTCATTCCTCTCGTTACAGTCACCGGTTCGACCGCGAGAGAGACGAGGTATGATTACTCCGTGGGTTACTGTACACATGACTGTTGTCCTGGATGGGAAACACAAAAACAGCCAGGCCATTGTGCACTGAGAGTGATTCTGCCCTAAAGGCTGTTTGCAGCCCTTCAAATATTTCTCCTTACCCGTCACAAAAACCCCCAAGTGCCGGGTAGCGGTTTAACAACTGATATTAGCTCTGCTCCAGACAAGAGTGCCTACCTAAGCAACATTTCAGACCCAAAGGCGGTTTCAAACAGCAGACAATTAGCTATTCTACTTTAGAAGTACCATTGCTTTACCAAGGTACTGCTTTTTTAACATGGTACTGTACCGTAGTAATACTCTTCGATGACTTTAAAGTAGCTTGAAATAAATGGTATGAGAAGTGTTAGCATCTGACGCAATAACTGCACCACAGTACTTTGTGAAGTTTCATTGCACTTTGCAATGAGTTCAGTCTTAAATGAGTCATCAAAATTAATTTTCAATATTTTCTAATCTTTTCTTGAATCATCAGAAAGTAGCACTGTCTTATTAGCATAAGCACTGTCTTATATAAAGAAAGAAAGAATGAATGTGGCGGCAGTGGCTCAGTGGTTCATGTAGGTTGTCTGCGAACCGGAAGGTTGGTGGTTCAATCCCCGGTTCCACCTGACCAAGTGTCGAGGTGTCCATGAGCAAGACACCTAACCCCAGCTGCTCCCGACGAGCGGGATGGCGCCTTGCATGGCTGACACCGCCGTCGGTATATGAGTGAGTGTGAGAATGTGAGGCAAATGTAAAGCGCTTTGGTGGTCATTGGGTCTGTGAAAGCGCTATATAAATGCAGTCCATTTACAATTTCACCAAATATTCAGGGCCATATTTACTAAACAGGGCAAATAAGTGTGAGACCGAAATCCTATGGGAGAAAGTGGCAATGGGAGTGTAAAGTTCTGCGGGAGAATCTACTGACTGTGCCAGTCATTTCCATTATGACCCGCGCAACTTAGTGGCGAGTCGCGAACAAGCAGAATCGCTGATAATCAGGTGCGGGTAATCTACCAACAACACAACACAGCAAATCAAAAATAACGTGGCTTAATAAAAGGTCATTGTGGCTGTATTACCCCAGAAAATACGACGCATTTTATATTTTATATTCAGAAAAGGAAAGTACAGACATTAGCTAACATTGGAGCGAGAGACACATGCATGGAGCTGCAACTGTGCGGTGAACAGTGTGTGCTATTATGCTATCTAAGGTCCCAACTACGAATCTGTCCTCCAGTTTTTGTTTTTTTGTCTTTATTAGATATGAGAGGGACAGTGACTGGCTCAGTTGGTTTTCTTGATTTCTTCAGTTTCTCATTGAGAAGCTCACATTCTGCTGCACAATTGCTGCTTTCTTTGCATATTTGACATATGTAACTCTTTCCAAATTTTGTTCTAAAAGCTGTAAAAATGCTCAATTCTGATTTTTTATGGAATGTTGCAGTGTGCATTATATATTATTTATCAGTGCACATCATTATTTAAAAAGAAAAGAAAAAGAAGTGTCCTCATAAACATTGACGTGTCTGTGGCTACATCTCTTCTGTGATGACGGGATATTAACCAGGGTCAGGTTTAAACTAGAACATAAAGTCCACACTAGAGGCTTAGTATCTGCTAGCTAGATTGTAAGTAACTCTAAACTCTGTACTTTATTCGTTTGCACCATTTGTTCTTATAAGGCAGAACGTAGCTTGTAGGTTGTAAGCTCTCCTTAAAGTGTAGCGTAGCCACATCATGTGACATTTTCCCTCAATGTTCCAGCGGGAGCCTTTAATAAGTGAGCAAAGTTGTGTTGAAATGCTGTGAAAATCAGTTTATCCGGGATTATAACTGCTTTTGCCTCACGTAAATAACTGTAAAAGTATGTTTACATTAAAATATGCCACTTACTTACTCATGAATAACATATTTTTATATGTAAATAACATTCAGAAACTGTTTTAGAAATTAAAAAGGAACAATAAAGAGATACTGATACCAAAAATAAGAAATTATATTTGATTTATTATGCCCACAGAGATGGAACGTGTTCCTGTTGAAGAGCCGCTAACAGTAATTAATCACATGACTCGAGTGTAAACGTCAATGTCATCATGTATGTCTAATGATTGTACTCTCTATACTAGGAACTGTACTCTCATTCCTGCGTAATAATCAAGAAACTTCACTGCCGTACCATGAGAGCAGCAGGCGTAATGATATGACGCAGCGCCTGAAAATAGTTCCGTTGTGTTGACGGAAGGTGGCCTATTTTCAGGCGCTGCGTCATATCATTACGCCTGCTGCTCTCATGGTACGGCAGTGAAGTTTCTTGATTATTACGCAGGAATGAGAGTATAGTTCCTAGCCATATAAGCCTAGAAAATCGCAACTTTACATTTTCCGTCGGTCTTAGTGCACGATGTAACTACAGAAGAGTCGAGTTTTAAAAAGAAAAAAAATATCGAAACTCTTTGGTCATTTTTTTTTGTGAGAAATGCTAATGGTCTTGTCCACTTCAATGATGTATGCTAAGCTATGCTAAAAGTGGTACCGCCAGAACCGGAGATCGGCTGAATGGATTCAAAAACGGTAAAACTCAACAGTTTAACTCTGGGGGAGTTGTAAAATGAGCCTGTTTCCAAAAAAAGTGGAGTATCCCTTTAATAATGCAGTTCAGTTCTTTTATTCCACACGTTACTCCTGTCACAGGCTTCCCTGTGTATTTCATTTATACGTAGAGTTGTATTTCAAGTTTAACGTGCAACGCAAAAATATTTAGTAGTGCGTAAGTTGTAACATGACATCACTTACACATGAAACAGCATTTAGCAAACGACAATGATCCAATCAATTCCCAGTGGACAAAATCAAGTTCCATACTACATGTT